GGGGGGGGGGGGGGGGGGGGGGGGCGGCGGCATCGCCCACCCCGTCTCCAGTCTGCGGTGGCTTCTGAGAAAAATACTGTCGGAAGCTCGTCTGCCAATCGGAAGCACACTGCACACACTTTTTTACTTCGACCACCTTGTACTTGACCTTCGATGACGCAACATGAAGTTCATTATCAAACAGGTTGCTCAGCTGAATCCGGTTGCCAATCTCAAATTCTAACCGCTCGTTGAATTTAAAAATTGCAAATGCCCCCCCGCAGGAATGGCACGGTCAAAAACGCTCCGGTATAAACGGTCTGATAACAAACTGCTGATAACTGATAAGGAGATTTGGCTGATAACGAGATGAAGCTGTCATGCGAGGTTGCCAGATGGCGCCATGGATTTAATTGATCCTCCGGCCACGTCACAAGATGTGACGTAGGAAGTTGCGAGTTGAAAATTTCTTATTCACAGTTTTCACGTTGTCGAGCGAGCAATGAGCGAACAGATGAATTTTATTAGGCTGGGTCTGTGTGAGTGCGACTAATGATGTGTTGATAAGTGCTTTTGTGCGATCTCCTGTAAGTATTCGTGGACTTTGAATTATTGCAGTTTTGCCCTAATTTCGCCCTTTTTCGACTATCACAATCGTGCGTGAAGATTACGCCTCTACCGGTCCAATTTTGCAATAGTTTTCATGTCAAATTCGTGCTTTTAGGACATGATTCGTGATCATAATCAGTCACATCCTGTTCGGATTGTAATCAGCAGTTCCCGAAGAAATCGATCCTTTGAGTAGACTTGTCTTCTCGAGTGTGAAATTCATGGTGCGAATTATTCTGTGTGACCATTTTATTATAATTTAGGTCAAAGTCTAGCCTTGAATTATGAGTGTCATGGCGTTGAACGTTTTTTCGTGTGCCTTGATAAGTGTGGAATGGGATTGTTCGTGGCCAAATTAAGGAAGTCAATTCCGTGAATATCAATCACCTTGCCTCGTACCTGTCTCGCTCCCTGTTGCTGACTTTTGGGTGGCACCCTCCTCTTATCTCTCGTTGACCCAAAACCGAAGCTGTTGCCTTTGAATTATGTAAGGTATTTGTGAATTTATCTTTTCCCAAGATGTTGGCTGAATTCTCTAGAATGTGAAGTGTCAACTTCCTGATCTCCCCAAGATCCCGAATTCAGAGGACCTTGAACACCCAGAAGCGATAACCAAACTTGTCGTAAAGTGGATGCTTTCTAATTCTGCCTTTGCCTCGAATAAAGGCATTATCCTCTGTCAGAGTAGAGTTTGATTCAACTCTTGCACCATTTCGTGAGTTTATTTTTATTTGATGGTAATACTGACCAGACCGTCTATTGGCAGTTACAGTTTTACATAGGGAATACTGATCCATTAACGAGGGAGGGACAGCTTTAGGTACGAAACCTCTGAATCCACTTATCAAATATTATTTTCCCCAGAAGTATTTCCAGCATATCTCCCTCTTTTTTATTCAATTTTAAATGAACGAATTACACTTTCAGAGTGGCCTTAACTACCTGAGCTTGACCTCTCTAATTTTTGCGCAATACCCGGGTCCCCAAGTTTTGGTGAGCTGATAAGATAGTTGACCCAGTCCAGCGAATGAGTCATGGCCTTTCCCTTTCTTCTCAGTTCAGTAATTAATACTGCTACATGCTTTCGGTAAAATGAAACTAAAATCAAAAGATGTTTTAACCTCAGAGGAAGGTTCCAACTCAGCACTATCAATTTAGTGTCAACCGAACCTCAAAAACAGAAACCCATCCCTATTCATTGTAATTTGCTGCCTATTACTTTCATTTGCTTGTCCACCAATTTTTTTACCCTATTCCAAACCATTTTGGTTTGCTTGGAATCCTATCAAGTTTAAGTACAGAGACGTTGTGGAGGATCATGTCAATTATTTAGGGCAGGTCAGTCTTCGGTCAATTTCAGTCCTGCCTCTATTCCTTTCGTCCTGCTTCTAAAAGGTTATTTACAATCAAAATTTAACTGCACTACCATTTCTCAGTTGAACTGATTTTTAGGAGCTTGGGGTAGATCATTTTACAACTGCTGAAAGGATAGTCATATTGTTAATGTTTATGTATAGACAACAATATCTTAGAGCAATACATAAGTGAATTTTTGTTTGCTACTTGTCGTTGAATCTCTTAGTAGAATAGTACATCTTTTCTGCTCACAAAGTCTGCGTTTGGAACATACAATCCAGAGCGCGAGAAGTGGCAGAAAACCGTTGAAATAACCTCTTGACCTACAACCAGTTCATGAACATAGCCCAGAGTCCCAGAACACATCTGCCAAACCTAAGACCGTTGAATGAAAATCAAATTTCTGCTTACTTAGCTTGAGGCAATTCTGTAGGAAAGCTTGGCCTTGCCCCTAGTCTCAAATGAAAAATAAAAACATTTTTGAATGAAATATTTCTTCAATTGCACTAAAATCTTGGTAACTTTCAAAGAACGAAAATTCGCTCATTGATTGATCAAGATAGGGTGTTACCATCGATACAGGTTTTGAATCTATGAAATTGGATCAGAACAATTTTCTAAGCCTTTTTAATTTATTATGATACCTCTGTGACCCGTTTACAAATTGGTTTATCCCTTGACCACATAGCTGTGGTATCATTCTCTAAGTTTAGGTATTTCTCTACTCCTTAAGATGATTAGGTTTCATTTGCCCCTCAATTTCATCCGTTAGATAGAACATCTTTCCTTTGAATTTCTCAAGAAATAATGTGTCTTCTGTGTTAGCTCATAGTTCCTCTATTCCCTTTAAAAAATTGTTCTTGTTGCTCATGGTGTGTGGTCAGTAGCAAAAGTTGAAACACAGGTTCATCAAAGTGCATTGGTAATGGTAGGTAATTTTTGCGTTCTTTGCCCACTCTCTCAAAGCCTGTAGCAGTCTTACAGATCAACTCATTTATATTCAGTTATGGTCAAGTACTGAGGAATGTAGAAATAGAAGTTTGTTTCATTTCTCTGTGCTAAATTCGAAAAACTGAAATGTTCGAGTTTGATAAATGAGTTGGTTGAAAGGAAAATTAATTGCTTCTTATGAGTATCATGGTTCCGTCCTTATGAGATAAGTAAATTAGGATTCATATATTGAAAAGCTTTCATAGCACATCCTTTTAGAGTCCTTTTTTCTACATTTACCCACATTTTTCATGAAATTACTACTTTTCTTCATTACCCTCTTGTGATGATTTTATCACTATCACTTTCTCTAGTATATGCATGGCTATAATCAGCTCTTTGCTCAAGCGTCTATATGTTTTGAAACATGGTGGACACCTGCCAGATTTTTTCTTTCAATGTCTAGATCAATTATTTTTGATCTCTTGCCAAATTGTTTCTCCCTATCCAGTCTGTCAATTGTGACAGTCTCACCCATCCTTAGGTATTTGATGGTGATGACCAAGATAGAACTTAATTTTTACATGAAAAAGGAAGATGTTTCAGCCTCGTTTTTAAAATCTGTTTGGTTGGCGTAACTACTCTTGCGGATGAACACTCGGTTTCTGTTGTGAAAGACTCCTTTGTTGTTATGAAACATTTCTCTTTCTGAACTACGTTGTAAGTTTTTTCAGGTGCCCAGTACTATTCTTCAGTACAAGGAAACATGCTGTATGAGACTTCAGATAACACCAAATTCCCTTCGATAAAGTACAAACCTGGGAAAATTTAAAAAATGTTCCTCCACTTTTTCCAAGAATTCTTAAAAATTTTCAAATTGTATTTTTTTTTTTTTTTTAAAAAAAAAAGGAGGTACACCCTCAAGTTGTTTGTTTCGAGTAGGTATTTACTTAGAATGAAAGTTGCTTTCAAAAAGAATCACATATCTCATGCCCTCATAAAGTCAGGAAAATGTATGTTTCTAAATCTTGGAAAGTCAGGAAATTTTTAATTTTAGTCTCTATCTAAATTTGGTAAAACTGTTGCTTGTATTTCAGAGTTAACAAGTAAATTAACTGGGGACAAAATTTATTGTTTAAATGTCAAAGGGGTACCCAAATAACCTGTAGCTAATCGTTTTATTTCATGTGTTGCAGCTTATGGTCAGAGTTGACAAGGAGTGACTCGGGCCCATTTTCTAGGATGTCAGACATATCTGAACAGTTTCCGAGGATAAACGCCTTTGCAAATGGCATGCAATCTCCACAATCTGAACTTTTCCCCAAGATGAACAACATTCATAAAAACGGGCAGCCTCCTACAGAACAGTTCACAAAAATGAATGATTCTCCAGCAGGTATTATTATTTTTATATTTTTTACATTTGATATGTAGGAGCCATTATGAACGGCTATCATACGAGTTAGAGAAAGAAAATCTTCTGGATTTCAAAATTGAACTCTTCAAAATTGTAAGAGTAGTTCTTTGGGATCGAAGGAATTTTAAATGGTAGGACAGAATTTACCAAGTCCATTAAGGGAAGTTTTTAAGATGAATACAAAATTGAGTGAGGTTTGATTCTTTGAAAAATACTTTTAAATTAGAAGAGAGTGAATGAAAAATTTTAATAGAAACTTATTAAACACCAGTTTCAGAGACTGTAAGATGTCGCAGGAATAATGATCACATTGTTAAATGAGGAAATCAAGTAGGTACATAACTATTCGAATTCCGCAGTAGGTATGTGGTATCACGTGAAAATGAAGGTATATCGTAGCTTTTCACCTGTTTCAAATTACTGACATTTATGAGAAGAGGTATTATGTACGATATTGTGGCCTCTGTAATTCTAAGAATGAAAGGTAAAAGATCCTCAGGTTCAATGTATCTGTTTTCAACTGAGCATTTCATTCTTTCTAGGTATGAACTCTCAACCGATGCCACCCATGATGCAAAACAAAATGACTCAGCCACCACAGCAGCAACCTCAGCAGCGGTCCGTGCAGCAATTTCCTTCGTCTCCAAATAGCCAACCTACAGCCGAAGAGAAATTACCCTCTGCGCTGTTGAATGGTCCGCAAAACTCAGTGCCTAGTCTTCCTCCTGAAATGCTTAATTCAGCTCCATCAGATAGACTTTCCAACTTGCCTGAACAATTCCAGAAAATGAATGTGTATTCCAATGGCACAGAGTTTCCTCCATCCTCTATCGGTGGAAGTAAAGAAGTTCCATCTCCTCAGACATCCCAATCGCAAGTGCCACCTACCACTGGTGGTCAGTTTACCAATCAGCAGAATAGTTTCTCACAAGTATCAACACATTCACCACCTAGCAGTCAAAATCAATTTAGTAATGTACAGAAACCTTTGACGCAGCAAAGTCCGTCACTGCCAAGCAGTCAAAATCAATTTAGCTTTCAACAGAAACCGCTTGCTCCGCAAACAAGCGTGCCACCCTCAAGTTTAAGTCAGTTTAGTAATCAATCAAACCCTCTGGCACAGCAATCACAACCGGCAACTCTACCACCTAGCTCGCAGAGTCTCTCATTTAGCAATCAACAGAAACCGGTGGTCCAGCAACCACTGTCGCAGCATACCATGCCGCATACACCACTGTCAAGCAGTCTTGGTCAGTTTGCTAATCAGCAAACACCACCAACACCTCAATCGACTTCAATACCTCCAACATCTCTGCCACCAAGTGGTCAGAGTATGTTAACGAATCAGCAAAAACCATTAGTCCAGCAATCACCCTCAATGCCGCAAACATCTGTCCCATTGAGCAGTCAAAGTATGTTTTCCAATCAGCAAAAGCCATTGGTCCAGCAATCACCTTCAATGCCACAAACATCTCTTTCTTCGAGCGGTCAAAGTATGTTTCCAAATCAGCAGAAACCATTGGTCCAGCAATCACCTTTGATGCCACAAACATCTCTTCCTCCAAGCAGTCAAAGTATGTTTCCAAATCAGCAAAAACCATTGGTCCAGCAATCGCCTTCGATGTCGCAACCATCTCCTCTATCGAGCAGTCAGAGTCCTTTCATTAATCATCAGAAACCGTCGGTCCAGCAATCACCTTCAATGTCACAAACATCTCTTCCTCCGAGCAGTCAGAGTATGTTTCTTAATCAGCAAAAGCCATTGAGCCAGCAATCACCTTCAATGCCACAAACATCTCTTCCTTCAAGCAGTCAAAGTATGTTTCCAAATCAACAAAAACCATTAGTCCAGCAATCACCTTCAATGCCGCAAACGAGCAGTCTAAGTCAGTTTGGTGGTATGCAGAATCACCCTCAGCAAAAGCCACCATCCATGCAGCAAATGCCTTCTCCACCTAGCAGTCAGAGTCAGTTTATCAGTCAACAGGTATCACAGTCATCCTTGCCACCAAGTAGTCAAAATCAGTTAAGCAATCAGGGTAAGCCTCCACTGCAACAACCTTTGCCGATTCCAAACCAGTTTCCACAAATGAAATCACCGCAAGCTCAGCAACCACCACTACCACCCAGCAGCCAGAATCAGTTCAATTATCAGCAGAAGCAGCCATTTCAACAAGGGACACAAATGCAACAACCGCCTTTACCGCCCAGTAGTCAGAGTCAATTCAGTAGTCAACAAAAGCCGCCCCAGATGGCTTTCAATAATTCACCATTGTCGGGACCCACCCCGGCTCCTCCAGTGCCAACACCCTCTCCATCACAACGACCGCCGAGCATATCGCAACAGTACCCTAAAGTTAACGCTTACTACAATGGACCGCAAGCAACTCCACCACCTGTCAGTATGCCAAACAAAGTGGTGGCGCCGACGCAGCCTCCGTCACAACCAATCTACTCACCTAACCAGTACGGAAATCAGCAGAAATCACCATATGTGCCGTACAACAATACAATGTCTCCTCAGATGCCACCGCAACAGAGTCAGAATTTCGCTCAACCACAATACTCAAATCAAAATTATTCCTCCAATATGATGAACAGGTAATTTATCATATTAAACTCATTAAATATTATTTTTTAGCGGCAAAAGTAAAAGTAGAAATTTCAAGAAAATTTTTACTCCGCGATTTTCTCCATGTTCACAAAACTGAAACCACAAAAGAGACCCCAATTAAAAACTATGTTCTGGAAGTGCAAGTTACAGCAAAATGTGAGTGATTCGAAGAGTAGCTGTTTCAGGTTGCCGATTATTTATGTTAGGTTAATAGAAGGTTACATCAAAACTGATTCCAGCAACATAGTTTTTTGATGCATTGTCGACTACATTGATGACAAATTTTAATTGATTTTTCCTAAGCTTCAGAGAGACTGCCTGTGATATTCTCTGAAGAAAGTTATTTGATCCAAGTCGCTAATAGTGTTGCTCAATGTTAATCTGTAATAACCTCTTGCTTACATTCAAAGACAAACTGTACAAGCTGGAAAGTAGAACTTTTTTACTGAGCACAAGTATAGGCAGGTAATAAACACTTTTAATTTTTACCTATTATTAAAACTTTCATCATCACTAATTCCGCAAAATTCGGAACTTTTAATTTTGTAGATCTATTTCTCATAACTCCATTGGTCTTTCACTGTCACTAAATTGTATTTTTATCAATTTCTTCCTTTCGGTACAGGTATCCGGCTCAGCCTGGCGCGCCTGGACCCAATGTTGTCCAAGGAGGAATGAATAAAGGATGGGGTATGGAAATATGTGATCTTCTAAAAACGAGGGACATCTTACCTCCGGAACATGAGGACCCGCCTCCTATTAAACTTCAACAAGAGCTTCTTAGCTCTCTAAATTGCTCGCCTAGTATTTTTCGTTGCACTCTGACGAAAATTCCTGAAACGAAAGCACTACTAGATAAATCAAGGCTACCCTTGGGAGTGCTCATCCATCCTTTTAAAGATCTAACCGTAAGTAATCCCAAACTTTTTGTATTTATTTTTGCCACAATATCCAGTATTAAATTATACCCCATTGAAGAATACCATAATTTCCCGCGGTCACTTTCCTGTAACATTAGGTGAACTCATCCTGTAGTTTTCATCGCAAAAAAAGTGTTAAATATGTAAACTTTTGAACCAATAGATCTCAGTTGTTTCTAGTTCTCTAAAATTCCTTTCCTAAAGCAGCAAAGCACTTGCAAATTATTTCTAAGTATCAGGTCAAAGCACCATAATTCTATGTTAAATAGGTAAATTTTGCCAGTCATAAAATTAAGTTTTCATCCCTGAAACTGGAAGATTCAATTTAAAAGGTAACGAGATCCATCCAAATTTCAACTTTCTCTGCTTAATATTTTTGAAAATTTCTCCCTCACCAGGGCCTGGTGATGGTTTTATCCAGTGCAAAAGTGCATACCATGGTTTCTTCAATCTTGAATTTTATCAACTAATGATGCACCATTTATTGCTCCATTTACATCACTGCTGCATCACTGCTGTAATTAAAGCAGAAAAAACCATGATTTGAGCTCGCTTTGTGCATCGAACCAATCACCATATTTTTCAAAAAGCAATAAAATTAATGCCGTGATGAATTGTAATAACTTACAAACTCTCCTAAAAAATAATTCTACGACCAACCCACCCTTTGATCCAATTATTTGTCTGTTAAATTCGAATCCTGAAACAAACATTCTCTTTGCATCGTCCTCTGTTCATATTTTTCACCTGTCTAATTTCACTTGATCTTCTTTTTTCCAGAAACTGACTGTTATTCAATCATCTGTGATAGTGAGGTGTCGTGCTTGTCGAACATACATTAACCCATTCATTCATTTTGTTGATAATAAACATTGGAAGTGTAATCTGTGCTTCAGAGTGAATGAATGTAAGTACAACTCAAAATATTTTCCTCTTTAACTCACTTGCTATGGTTTTTCTCCCAAGGATAATCTCCTATTGAAAATACAAATTTGATCAAATACTCTCATTCTCCTGCTCTTAACTTAAAGTTTTGTGGAAAGAAAGACTCAGTTTTAAGTTGCTTAAAAAATTGGTGCATGTATCTGATACCATGAATGAGACACAGAGTGCCAAAATGAGTGCTACTCATAGTAAGATAAAAAAAATGGGTAGCTCAAAACTAAGTCCAGACTATAAATGAGAAAAAAATCAATGAAAATTGAGTGATTCTATAGTTTTCAGAAGATGCCCTTATTAGGAACGCATTCTAGTGAGAAATAAAGAAAAACGCTCTCAATATTCTCTAATGAACACAGGCATCACAAACTAAAACATGAAACACATTCATTCATCTTCTGGAGATGAGAGCCAGCTCTGCATCCATCTCTCAGGGACGTATAATTCTTGAAGTATTAAATTAATTAGGAAATTTGCAAGGAAAAAAAATACTTCCTCTAGAAATTTAAGCCTTTCATTCTGTCTTGTGTAGCAAGAAGTTTCCGACAAAATCCAATCTTGTGATATCTGAATTACTGAGATACTCCTCTTGGAAAGGTTTTTATCTCCATGAGGCACTAGACAAGGTACAAACCAAGGTGCTCTGTCACATGTTTTCCCTACTACATTTTACTCGAAACATGATCCTACACAAAACAGGAATTTTAGAATTTATCTCCTAAATTTGATTTAATCATTTAATTTTTGTTCTATTTTATCAAGTCAAATATGAACACAGGTTGATACCTTACTTGAGAGCTGATTTTCAAACTTCCTGTTGCATGAATATTTTTATGTATAGAATTCGAAGGAGAAACATGTTACAAGGTGTTTCACTTGTACCGTGTCTAGGGACCCATTACACTCTGCCCTGGAAATATTAATTTCATTTTATCGATTTACGTTCTTTTTGTTCTAGTGCCCGATGACTTTCAATACGACCCTACGACTAGAACGTATGGTGACCCATCCAGGCGACCTGAAATAAAATCATCTACTTTAGAATTTATTGCACCGTCTGAGTATATGGTTCGTACTCCCAATTTATGTACTTGCATGTCCCCACTTTCAAGAAAATCAGATGTTTGGGTAAAGAATATTCCTATCATCAGCTCATCGGCCCCATAGCTTCTTGCAATTTTTTGCTATATTTTGAAATAAAAATGGCTGCCGTACTGTGTATCTCGCTTGGTGATGTTAGGATTTAGCTACATTTTCTTGTAAATTAGCTTTATAAATCAAGCCCCTTTTTAGAGTGAAGTTTCAAAGAGTTCGCCAATCCTTGGATCTAATTGACATATTGGTATTATTTTTATTATTGAGGTGGATGATGATTCAACGGTTGATCGATCAATTAATAATTTTTAAATTCTTTGAAAAATTCCTGTTTTTAATTATTTTTTAAAATTCCCCAAAATTGATGTCACTTTGAAGCTTGTTCAATTTTCCACCAATTTTTTGTAGGTTTAAGTGACTCATTGTGGCAAAGCCATAAATGAAAATAACGGGGAAGTAGGTACCCTAATTTTAACTAAATGCTTATTGCATCTGTATTGCTGCTGTATTTCCTTTGTTGCGCCGCTTCTTTGCTGTTTATTTTACAGAAAAAAAGCCATAATTGTCAGTAAAAGTTTATTGATCCTGATCGTATTGAATGTGTTCTATATTTTGGCTTATTTTGGCTCTTTGAATGTTGAGAAATTTTTTGAATTTTAATATATTCACTAAGAACATGCTTTTTACTACAGAAATACTAAAAGATCAAGATTAGATATAAAAGTTTTTGAAAAAGCAGTCTTTTCAACAAGTTTGCAACAAATAAGCTAGCTGCTTAAAACCCACTAATTTGAAAACATAGTTTTTTGTAATTCAATGATTCCAAACAGACTCTAAATTACGATTTTATGATTCCGGATTAATAATTGTAAAGCTTGTCTGACTTTGATTTCTTTCATTTTAGGTGAGACCACCTCAGCCGGCTGTGTATCTGTTTCTCCTGGATGTATCCAGGCTAGCCACTCAAAGCGGCTATTTATCAATCGTTTGCGAAACGTTACTTGCCCATTTAGATAATTTACCAGGAGATGCTAGAACTTCGATAGGGATCATCGCCTACGACAGTGCTGTCCATTTCTATTCGTTAGCTGTTGGTTCAAATCGACCCCATGAAATGACTGTTCAGGATGTAGAAGGTACTTATTAATTTATTTTTACCTGTTCTCAGTTTTAATCGGCATAACCATAAATAGAATGTACCATATTTATCCTCTTGTATTTATTCACTTATTTATTTACAAATTATTTAACTAACATGATGAATGCTGAGAGAGACAGAAAAGAGAAAACAGAAATAAACTGGAGAGTTCGGTGAGGCTAAATGCAATTCAAAATGAAGATTTTAACATAATCAAATATGCTATAAGTAAGGGACAGAATTTTATCGAGTTTGTTCATCGGGTAGTTTTTTTCTAAAATAAAGTACATGAAGTCATCGGGTAGCTGCGCAAAAGTAATCCCTTTATTGATTTGAAGTACGTATTGCTTCCAGATAAATCTGCCTGTCAAGTGGTTGTGAAAATGTTGTTACAACTGCACAGCCCAAAGTAACGATGCAGCAACGTTTTTGTAACGTTATTTTTGAGATTTTAAGCTACCGATAGCTGATCCTAAAATTGGTAAAATGGCTTCAATTCTCCAATCAGTTTATGGCATTAGATACTTCCAGTATATTATGACCTACCCCAGCGATAAAATCTCTGTATTCTGCCAACACGTCAACCATAGTATTTATGTTTTTTCTTTTGTTTCCTGAAAAGAATTTGTATGTAGTTTTCATAATTTCAGAGAACTGGAGGATAAGTCTGTGTCGCTACACGTACTAATTTTTACTGTATCATCATTCATGTAACATTGTATTTTTGTTTCATTTTAGATATATTTTTGCCATGTCCAGACAATCTCCTAGTTAATTTAAACGAATCTAAAGAATTAGTATGTGAACTTCTAAGTCAACTACCCAAGAAGTACAAGGAGAGCTTTGCTACAGACAGCGCATTAGGTGCTGCTCTTCAAGCAGGCTACAAGTTACTGGTAAGAGGGTTTTTTTTTGAAATGTGATTGTTCGTGAGAAAAAGGACTCTTGTCCATGGAAGCAAAATTTTCAGTTGAGTAAGTTTTGTCGTGTTGCTTAAGATAATCGGATTTTAAGACTTTGACAGAGGACTGTCTCTCTCAAATATTCAATCAAAATCCAAGATAGGGAAAAATCCAAAATTTATTCAAAATCCAAGAGAGGGAGGAAATCCAGAAATCCTTAAACCATAAGTAAAAATCAAAATTTTTGTATTTAAATCTAAAGAACAAAATTTAAATTGATTAATATAAAAAATGTTATACTTAATCAAAACATTAATCAATCAACAAAGTATAGCTTTATATCTTATGAAAAAGTCATGGGCAGCTTAGTTTATTTCTAAGTCATTAGAGAGAGTAAAGTTGCCATATTATTCGACAAAATTAAGCTGTGAACTGGTAAATTAGGATTTTATACAAGGTGAGCAAAACACCGAACAGTCACTATATCGTAGTATTTCAAAATCTCATCTCCTGTTTCAAAAATTGGTGAGAAAACCAACCAACATCCCTACTCAAAAAGTATTATAATATTTATTGCCTTTATGAAGGTTTTTACAAATTTTTAAGTAAAAATGTTGTTTGGTTTCCCTTCAAAAAATTAAAACTGGTGATGAGATTTTGAAACGCCACATTATAGATTCGACCTCTTTGCTTAACTCTCTCCGACTTCAAACTCATTTTTCTGGAGATGGTCTAAATATCATGCTTCTCCATGTCCGGTGGAGGCTTTATTTTAAATTTTATTTTTTTAAAGTGTCACCATCTGAATCTTAGTAAGACATTTTGGCACCCTCTCAAAATACGCAACTTACGATGCTTGTTGTTAAATAGTTTTTAGATTTTTCTGTAATTAATCAGTATGTTGTTTTTTTGTTCAGGCTCCCTCTGGAGGTCGAATAACAGTTTTCCAGACATGTCTTCCGAACCTTGGTCCCGGAAAGTTAGCACCTCGAGAAGATCCAGCTCTTCGTGCCAGTGAAAATGTTCAACACTTAAATCCATTCACTGATTTTTATAAAAAATTAGCGTTAGACTGTTCTGCCCAACAAATAGCTGTTGACCTATTCGTAATCAACAGTCAGTATGTTGATATTGCCAGCTTGGGTAAGCATTACTTTAACGTTTTAAGTTTACGCTGAAAATACTTTAAAACAAATTGCAGAGTTTTCAAATCGCTGAAATGCGCCAAGATCGAAACATTGATGTTAAGTTTTGACAATGATGTGAAGTTTTGTCACTTATGTCTTAGTCAACCTGAACGGAGGCATGTAAGTTTGCACGAAATGATAGTAGTTGTGTTTTACGCTTTAAAAATATATTTTCTCCTCTTCAAATTATTTTTAGAATTTCTGTTATCGTTTGTCTGTTTCTTCTTTTCCAGCTGGAATTTCCAAGTTCTCAGGTGGATCGATCTACCACATACCTTTGTTCAGCGCTGTCAATCAAACTCATGTTGAAAATTTGGAAAAAATGTTCACGAGATATTTGATCAGGAAAATAGGTTTTGAATCGGTCATGAGACTCCGGTGTACCAGGTAAATTTAATGCTCTTCATCCGTCCTACAATAATTTTTACCACAAGTTAGACAGATATAAAGAAGAAAAGAAGAAAAAAGAGGATAGTTTTTCTGTAATAAGATATTTACAAAAGTACAGTTCGGTACCATTGTATTTCATCATAGTGTATTCTATAAATGTCGAATTACAGGGGAAAAGGGTATTTGAAACTTGCTCATCGATTTGTGTTGCGATTAATTCAACTACACGTTTTATACAATGTCTTTTTTGGATCTAACCAGAGCCATTTGAAGTGCATTTCATGTTGCCATATTTCCTTTCATGCTTTATTATTTAACAAAAATTTAATAAGGCCTTGAAACTTTTCTAGTCTTCCATAGATTGCCAAGAATATACTCACAAAATTCCAAATCAGAATGTTACTTAGTTTTCTGTCAAAAAAATAGAATGTGAGAGGGAGCCAGCAGGCTAATTTTTGAAATTAATAGACAAAGCTATAGACAAAGAAGAAAAAGAGAAAACAGAGTGATCCTATTGGTTGAAACGGGTGGCTGTCATTGATTAAGAGGGAAAACGATGGACTCTGTGAAGGATTTCTCGTGTGTTTCTGTTACTTAGTCAATTACTTGCCTTCTTTGTCTATAGATTTGTCTACCAATCTCAATAGTCAGCTTGTAGGTGAAATCTGATATAGTTAAACTGATTCTGATTAAATCTGTTCAAATGATGTTAGATGATAATATTATTTAATCTGCAAGTTACGTCTAATTGGCGAAATACTATGAAATTATTACTTGTTGTTATTGTAGCATACTTGCTTTTCCTAACAATTTTTCCATAATTGATTCATTTTACAGTGTAAATTTTAAGTCCCAACATGTGACTAATCCCATGTAATGATTTTGTAACTGTTTCAGGGGAGTTTCTATACATACGTTCCATGGTAACTTCTTCGTCCGGTCGACAGATCTTTTATCTTTACCAAACGTCAATCCAGATGCTGGATACGGCATGCAAGTTTCAATCGATGAAAACCTCACAGACATATCGAACGTCTGTTTCCAAGCTGCTTTGTTGTATACGTCTAGCCAAGGTATTTTTACAACTTAGTATTCTCTTTAATTTATCATTTGCACATAGAAAGTTTAATTAATGGTGTGTAGGACCTGAAAAAACAGCAAATTACCGGACTTCATCATCAGAGAATGAAACATTCCCTGGAAAATCAGAAAATTTTTCTGAAAATTGATGCTAAAAACCAGGAATGTCTTCTTTCTCTGCTCTGAAATCAAATATTTCTTACAATATGTGCTTTGTATTCATTTGGCTTCAAAAAATCAAGACAAAAGATGAAAAATTTGATTTTTTTCCACATAATTTGGAGGAGAATCTTTTTCTTTTTTAATGAAAATCTAGAGGAAAGCATGTGGAAATCCTGAGTTTTTATCAGGAAATTTTGCCTGGAAAATCAGGAAAAATCAAATGATTGTTAGGATATGGTGAAGAAATGAAGAATTTTAGACACCAATCTTTTTGAGCAAGAGCAGGTCCTCTTAATATTCTGTGCAACCAAATTATCAACTTTTAGTCAGTGATACCTATCCTTCCATAAAAAAATTCAAGATTTAAATTTTTTCCTTTTACAATTTTTACCTTTTTAAGGATTTTTCACTTATGATTTGGTATCAAAAAATTGTATGTATACAAAGTAACTATTATGAGGGCAAATGGTGTTCTGCTGTAGAAGGAATAAGAATACTTAATTTATTATAATGAAACTTTTTTACTTGGATAAAAGTATACTCAATTCCATTCTAAGTATCACAATTTTTATAATGGTGAATGCTTTTTGAACAACTGGCATCTTGCCATTGTTACATGGATATTCGGTGATACATTATTGGTGGCTCATAAGCTCTAAAATTCTGTTGCAGGAGAAAGACGAATTCGTGTTCACACTTTGTGCCTTCCCGTAGCGTCTAGTTTGCAGGAAATACTTTATTCAGCTGACCAGGAGTGCATTGTTGGATTACTTTCTAAAATGGGTAAGAACTTAGGAACATTCTGTTTTTCTAGAATTTGCACCTGGCAGCATAGTTGTTGGGGTATTCCCTCTTGAAATCGTGTAAATATATGGAAAAATTTCAAATATGATCCTAAAGTAATAAAAAAAAACAACTTTGAATGAATGAGGTAATAAAATGCATGAGAGGCGAGAGGCTCCCAATGTTAAGTTTATCCTATCTTAAAACTTTAGCTCTGTCGATCAACCGTGGCAGAGAATTGATTTCATGGTTGCAAAAATTTTCAGATCACACACATGGCTGCTGGCATGAAAAAATTGAAAGGCCAGCTGCTATAGCGTCAAAACCTCCAGTTTCACTGAAAATTGTTGTGAAATTTATGCATGAAAGACGAAGCAAAAGGTCTTAGCTTTGGGGGTCAATCGGGTATTTGAAATAGGAAAACTGATTGGAAAAATGAGGAGGCTAAGAACTTTCTGCATCCTGTAGTAAATAAATGTCGGATTTGTGATGTAATTGTAAAACTTAACCTAAAATTTACATTCATAGCTATTTATTCCTTGCATAACCTGAACATCTTTCAAAATTTTATTATTTTAAATTTTGTAATCTTGACCTACGCCTCAAAATTGCCGTTTCATTTTTTGTATGCTCTAAGCTCTTAATTGTTCTCCTCTCTTTTTACAGCTGTTGATAGGAGTGCACAGTCATCACTGAGCGATGCTCGAGAGGCATTTGTCAATGCAGTTGTAGATATCCTTTCAGCATTTAGAACTGTACAGTCTTACGGTGGCGGACCAGGGTCGTTACTAGCTCCGAACACCTTACGGTTATTGCCTCTCTACGTTCTGGCTCTACTGAAACAGGTAAGTAACAACTAGAGGGTAAAGTACCTAGTTTTAGTGTTCAGAGGGTTGTGCAAGCTTGATTTGAAAATTTTGTGACGTGGCAAAAAAATAAACAAATCATCGTTTTGTGACACACCATTGTGTTTAACATCCCTCAGAAAAAAATATTAAAAATTCGCCACTGAAAACTGTCATGTAAAAGCTGTCTTTATTAGGCTTTTAAAGAGCGCATTGCCACCTTAGGTACCCAATATAATACTGATATTTGCCGGGCACATAATCTAATTGAGTAAATCTGGATGCAGAATTTGATTCAGTGTTTAAACAATTAAGTAAAGCTGTAAAACCGAACTCACAAACTTAGAAACTGAATCGCGAAAATTTTCACAAAATATGGTTTTTCTTATTTTTTCAGACGGCGTTTAGAGTTGGCTCAAGTACGAGACTGGATGATAGAGTTTTCGCAATGAACCAGATGAAGTGTTTACCGTTAACATTTTTAATTCAATCAGTTTATCCCGATTTATATCCTGTTCACTATCTAGACCAAGTTGTAAGTATCCTATTTCTTTCATTTTTCGGTAGTTACACCACTTGGACCCACTTCGGGAATCAAGTCTGACTTAAAGTTTGGAAATTTTACTTCGCGTTTGGCAGATGGTTTGATAAATGGAAAGATAGCATAAAATCATTCTACTCCTCCAAAGTTGTTCATAGTTTTGCCTTATTTCTTGAATACCATAGAACCAATTTTGTCATTTCTATAATTAAAAGAAAAAGACCAACATTTTATTCCTCACCCTTAAAGAAGATCTTCTGTATCGAAAACAAAAGATATTTCTATCCTCTTTTTTTTAACTGTCCTAGTTTTGAAGGAGGAGACCTTGTTTTTTATCATGAAAAAATTTTATAATTTGCTAAATTGTGACTGGAGCTGGAGAAAAGAACCAGGAGAAATTTTTTTTTTTCTGCTTTTTAAAAGCTTAAACATTTTTCTACTTCCTAAATATTTTTTCTAAGAACTTGAGGACTATTATGTCCTTCAATTTTTGAGCTTGCCGGGCCAAACTTGCGCCAAAACGGCCCGGGTATCTTCCTCTAAGCATTTGAAAAAATTAGGGAAAGTTTTCTTACAGTGAATTACGTTCCGTTTCAATAGATCCGGTCTCAGCTGATGGTTTTTGTTCTTATCAGTGGAAAAGGTTTTGCATATGAAAATTTAAAAGCATTTAAGGATTCTCAATGATCTTTGTACTCTCATCAGACCTCAGCAGTATAATAATCATATCGGTACATGGTTTTTAAGGAGAAGAATTGTATTTTTATTGTCACAGTTGTCTATAATTTTGTCAATCCTCCTTGTACTCACATTTAAAATTTTTCGTTTTCCAGCCGGAAGTAGAATTTGAAGACAAGTTAGTTCCTCAACCTCCTCGCCTGCAACTCTCATCCGAAAGGATAGACAAGAATGGTATCTATCTCATGGACTCAGGGGACTCATTTATTTTATACGTAGGACACAACGTCAACCCTCAACTACTGAATAATCTCCTAGGAGTGCCTCATTTTAGTGCATTACCTGATATATCAGTAAGTACTCACCTTCCTTCAATCCGTTTCTTGTTATTGATAAATAATTGATCAGTGATTTAGTAGCGTACTGATGTAATTAGAGTTGATCATTTGCATTAAAGTAATCGCCAACACTGATTACCTGCAAATATTCGTGCATGAAAACAACTTAATTACCGTAATAGAGTGAGGCATGTCCTTGAAGAATGGTGTTAAATTGGTAATACCTCTAACTCAGACACCAATCGATGAGGATGTTGCCGCTTGTCTAAAAATTATAGAAATAGTGCAGGACAACTGGATAGAGTTAAGCAAAATAGTCACATTCACTTTGCAAGAGTGTGCATCCCCTAAATCCTCTCTTTTGTTGCTTCATTGCATCATGTGCCTCAGATAGTTATTTTTCTGGAAAATTCTCTAATGCAACAACAAGCTGAAATTGAATATTTTCCCTCGGGCGTGTAATTTTTTTACATTTGAATTGAAGTAAATATCTGTAAGTGTCTGACATGAATTATTTTGATTTTTTCAGTGTGGAATTGCAGAATTAGAAACTCCCGAATCAGAAAGACTGCGTAATTTTATCATTCTTTTATGTGTTGAAAAACCATACTGTCCACCCATCACTGTTTTAAGGTAAGCCTTGATTTCAACAACTCGGCAATTCAATGGTAACATTTCTCTCTTCCGCCTTTTTCATAGTTATAAGGCAACTCAAAGCTTTTTAATGTCCAGGAAAAATCATGGACTGTGAAACATTTTTCTGATGTAATTCTCCTTTTCTTTTTTCATTCTGTTTTTGACATCTCCTGACGTGTTTAAATTTTTTTTCAATTATGATGCATCAGAATATGTAACAACAGAGGAGCCCGAAATATTTAGTCATATTTTTGGACCAGCAAAACCTGGAAATAAAAACGAATGTAATATGTGTCCTCTGATAGTTTTTCACTCCAAATTTTCTTGAGATTTCATGATAAATAGAACCTGGCAGTAGGAGCTAGCTAAACCTGAAAATGGAAAGGATTGTAATATGTGTCATCTTATAGTTTTTATTTTTAAATTTTTTTAAGATTTCATGATCCTATTCAGAGAGTTGATTATAGGAAAACTGTCATTCTGTGGAATCTCCATCTCCTGAATTTTACTCAAGTTTAGGGGAATAATACACAAATGAACTTAATTCATCACGTTTATTATTTTTTGTCTTTGTTTTTCAGGGACAACAGTTCTCACCGTTCCATGTTCCTTGAGCGTCTGGTCGAAGATAAATACGACTCTGGAATTTCCTACTATGAATTTCTACAGAGGATAAAAGCCCAAGTGAAATGAGACGAGGCTTATTAGAAAATTTAGGTAATTATTTGGTCATTGAGCGCAGCGCTGAAGGGTTGGCAGTTAAGGACGTGGACAATTTTAATATGTTGATCAAGTTATCTTTTTTTACTATTGGCTCTCATTGGTCATCTCTTTTTTTATGTATTTGGTCAAGCATGATTCTTAGAAATTTATACTCTTATTTTAAACTGATTCATGTGAGGACCCAGTCATTCCTTTTCAGCATCACGTACTCAGTAAAAATTACTGCCTATAGCGGCAAAAGGGAATTTGAAGTTAATGTTTGCCTATGCAGTGGTCTATCAATTTTTAATAACCGTCAGCAGCACTGCTGATTTTAAATAATATCGATAGGAGTATCCACACGCATGCTGCAATATTATTGAAGTTGGAGCCACGTTTATCTTCTTTATGAGTTGTTCAACCCAAGAACTGAAAGGCTTTCCGAGGGAATAACTTGAAGAGTGAGAGCTCTGGTGGTTGTGATGAATAGAGCTGATTCACTTATTGTATGGTTCGACCTATCGTAGTTGATAGTGTCTGATAAGACAGTCCTTATCATTTGTGTTTTCATTTAAAAAAAAAGAATTAAAATCTTATTTACATGCACGTTTTTTAGCTCATGAAATGAAAAAATCATTTGCAGAAAAAGCACTCACATAAAAAAAAGTAATGATACTTTGGACTTAAGAACCTTTGTATCAGGTCCATCAATAATATATACTTGGGAGAGATCAGTTAATCAAAAATCAATATCGAAAGCCAAAGGACAATATTGTTCGACAATTCTAGTGAAAATAAGTCAGGGATTTCGCTGCATTCTGAACCATAAACCATGCCAGTCGATATTTCTAGTTTTTTCAAATTCTGCATGGAAGCGCTTTAATGTATAAAATAAATTCCAACTATAACTTCAAAATTACAAAAATAATAAGTTATTTCTTTGTCTTGTAAAATCGTCAGTGTGCAGATAGGCGGTATAGTTCCTTAGCCATTGATATATTGGAGTATAATGTAGTTCATATGTTAGAAAAGAAACGAAAAAAGTTTAAGTTTTGAATGTTTGTATTCAATTTTGATACTAAAGAGTGAAAAAAGATGAAAAACATTTGTCAAAGGATTCTTTGATAGTTGAATCGATTGATGTATTGAATTTCCATAAATCAATTGTGACTTGCCGAAGTCTTGGCTGCTGATCGGTTTGAAAGCATATTGATGAGTCTGTTCTGGCATCAACAAACAAGAGTACATCATAGTTTCTTCGTTAGAAAAAGAAAAGGCTGAACTGAGATTGAAAATTAAGCTTCGTTTTGTTTAATTTTATCAGTTAACCTTCTCTTTTTTTGTTGTTTTAACCGTTGGTCATTCTTTTCATAGCTATTGAGCATTAAAATCTTCGTTCTCAGTTCTTTTTTATTGGTGTTTGCGAAAATCAATTTCACTTGAACCAATCATTGTTGCAATTTTAAAGACTTTTAATGGCCTTAAAAAGAAGTTTCTCGTTACATCTTGCCTTATTAAGTACTCTAAATGATGCATCTCTGATCCCAAAGCTGAACTTTTTCCCAAAGACTCATTTTCTACCTCGTTGTGTACTGCTTTTGAAACCAGGAAATAAAGGCACTAGTCAAGTGTCACAAAACTTATAGTCATAAAGTTTTGAATAAAAAATCTAATGACTTTAACCCTTAAAATTCCCTGGGAAATTAATTTATCAGCTCAGGACCTATTCTGTACCACAGGAGTGCCTAAGTCAATGTCCCTAACTACAATATCATTTAATGTGGAGTGAAACAAGTCCTCGTTTAGTGTGGACGTTATCCTCTTCTCTACTTGAAAGACGTAGATGTTCCTCACTTCTCGTCAGTGTTGTCTTATACAAATGCCACAACTGAGCGCATTTCAAGCAAATGGATGACTGAATTCTGGATACAAGTGACTCAATATTTGTCGCTCCTCAAATAGATGTGGCAGTATGTTACTTTTTATCCGTAAAAAAGAGATTATTGTCAAGAAAAATTGGGGAACAGCATGAAATAATAATTTAATTACTCTAATTTCTTAAAGTACCCGATGTATTGCGCTTCATGTTTTTGGAGCTCAGCCACTGAAATCGAGCCTCTTTTAGTCAATTTTTTAAAGGTTGAAACATTCCTCCAAAGGCTGTAATACAATTCCAGCCTTGAGCCTAAGTGAATGGTATTTTTACAGAAAAAAAATTATAATTTTTCTCAACTTATCCACTATTGGCCCTTAAATTGTTTTAATATTGCTATTATCTTTTTCTTTGTTTATGAAAATTAAAAAAAGCGACCGCATCCCGTGTGGGTATTGGTGATAAAATTTATATAAAGCTCTACCATGGCGGTTTATTTTAATCTTATTATCACCTCTTGTTATCTTTTAATTATGTTAATAACTTTGTGTTATATGTATGATTCAACTGTATTTTAAAATTTGTATCTATATGATTTGTACGTTACATTTGTTGTTGTTTGTTCGCAATTGATTGATTTATTTATTCCTTATTTGTGTTATTTTAAGTTGAATTTACCTATTCATGAGTTGATTTCATTGCTTTTATTGTTCTTATAAAGTACAGGATGTTACAGGTACAGAAGCGATTTGTACCGTTGGAACGGTTGTTAGTTAGCTCTTTTAATCAGGGTAGTAGTGCAGGCCTGTTCGTCTTGTTCCTTGCCGTAATACTGCAGATAAGTGATCTTGGATCTATGGAATCAAATTGCTGTCAAGTTTAGATTGTTCTGTAAATAGGGTTTTTGTTGACAGTGTTGCCATGTATGATAGGATCTACTCAAATTTTTCCTGCTTGTAGCCTCCTGAAGCAGCTGAAATAATTTGAATTTTTGTACTTTTTCTTGAATGACTTATAAATTGAACTGAAAAATTTGAATTTTTTCTTTCATGGCAGCCCTGGTTTTGAACAAAGTTTGTACATTGAGTAAGGGGAAAATCTACATATATTTGAAAATGGTGAGAATCGGCCCCACCAGTCTCGGACTTTCTTGTAAATTGCATTTTTAATGTTAAATTTTTGATAATTGATTTGTAAATTCCAAATAAATTATAAAAACTGGACAACTTTTTTTGTTCCTTCAAAAATCAATAAGACGTATGTAATTGTTTAAATATTTATCCTCGATTTTAGTTTTTTCTTCCCTCTGACGTATTTTGGTCTTTTCTCAACCTCATTTAGACTAGACTGTGAATCTCTTTGTAGGCGATCCACTTAGATTGAAGATGTCTGTAGTTTCACCGTAGATATGCCTAGTAACGCACGTTGTCCAGGAATAAGAGCAGCAACACCAAAACAGAACAAAAGCGCATTAGACAATAATAATTGATGTTTTAATTTATTTTATCAGGTATTACAATGAGTGAATAAAAAAAAATGAACAGAAAATATAAATAACAAAAGATTTTAAAAAAGAATAGATTCATTAAACAAAAACAAAGTTTTTAGATCCATTTCTAATTTTAAATCTTCAAAATCATCATCAATCAAACGTTAAAATCCCACTTTTGGACTTACCAAGGGAGAATGTTCGTAGACATTCAACAACTCAAATTTCCGTTGCCACAGCAACATGCTTTCCATTCTATAAAATTAAAATACTTACTTGAAAAAATAGAATTTAGTTACTCAACAATATAAGCCACAAATTAACAAAACAGCATTGACTTGCAGGCATGAATTACACTCTTTATCACAGAGGAAACTGTTTTCAGTAAGGTTTTCCTTCAGAGATCATAAACTCACTACGATTCTATTCACGCAGTGCCTGACGTGTAACAGAATTCACTAGTCTTCAACTTCTCTCTCTCCTTTGGTTTTCGTTACGAGGTGGAGAAGAAAAGACACACTTCTTCGTTATCTCAACAGAAGATTCAGATATTGATCATTCCTTGCAAAGTGGGGATAAACACATGAGCTAAGCCTTTCATTGGATTAATTGCATGGGTTGCAGAGCTGGCCAATATAGTTCGTACCCAAAGAGTTACAAAACTGATAGTAAAACACGCCCAAACATCAAAGTTCAACAAATTAACAAGAGTGTTGACCGATGTTACCAACTTGAAAGAAAAGTCTACTTGTAGTGCAAAACAGAGCAAACTATTTCAGACCAGTACAACCAACCCATTTTGGACAAATATCAAGTACGGCAAGAGCGCGAAGAGAGCCCTGCTGCGCTTATAATGCTGTATTTTAGCAAAATTCAAGAGGCAGCTTTTTCTCGGACTCAATATTTCGTTACAGAAAATGCAGAGTATCTAAGAGCATGGGCAATGAGTGCTGGGAAATCTACAACATAATATTCAAGTCCAGTTGAAAAAATGTTTAGCTCCAGTAAAAAGTTGAGAGTATTTTCTCTATGACATTGCAATGATACATATTGCTAGGAAATATCTTCATAATATGGCCACAGCATGATGGACCTGAAAGAAATGGCGATCATTCTATTACAAAAGTTACTGTGAAGAATACGTTACAGAGTACAAACTCCAAGTTACATAATTTTAAAGTTTGTTTAGCCAAAATCGCTTATTGCAATCTTATCCGATCCGAGATCACCTGAAATTAAGCTGAGAATGACACTGAAGCTTAAGGTTTAGTTTTTACCGGTAAAGAAAAGAAACCTATTGCCGTATTGTGACTGAGTTATAGTTTTTTGAGGATTTTTCACTTCTACCCTAATAGCGTTCACTGTTACGACAATCAGCGTTAATGGGCTCCATAACATAGAACTTACAAAATAACGTGTGATTATACTAATGGGTTTAACGACAATAGTATGACAAATGTTTCTGGAAACAATTTAGGACCAACTTTCTATGGAAACCGTTCTTGCCAGAGCATAATTGATCCAATATGTAAATAGGTGGTTGTTGGTAAGTAAGTAAACCTCTGGTTTTAAAACTGCCAATTTGGTTACATTAATCTTTTAATACAATCATTGCGGCATTTACTGGTGTGAAATTGCAAAATTAGGCTACTTTTTCGATGAGTTTTAAAAAGGATTAACCGCTACAGGTTTATTTATGGTTCTCTTTTTGAAAGCACTGCGCAATCTGAAACGTCAGAAGCTTTTAAAAACTTGAAAATGAAAACCAACCTAGAGTTCTTTTCTTTTCAAGTTTTCAAAAAATATTACAAGCATCATTGCGGCTTTGCTTGCTAAGCTGGAACTAAGATTACACGAAAATTGGTAACAAGTGTTTTCCATAGCGAAATCAAGACTAAGAGACCGATAAAAGTAGTTCAATCGGGCCTTACTGTCTTTTGGTAACATCACTCGCCCACTTGTAACTTCTATGCTTTGGAACCAAGTATCAGTTCTTGATACAAAGCCGGGATGACACGCAGCATAGAAGTGAGTTAGAGCACAACTAACAATTGACTACACAGTTATCAGGACAATAAATAATTTTACAATAAATTAACACGATAGCGAAAGTTTTTCTCAAATGGAAACCCTATGTTACTTTACAGGTCTACAATTTGGCAACGTTGTAAAGACAAGAGCGTATGCTATTTGATGTGATCGCAGGAATCTTCATAGACGTCGTTATCTTCGTCTTCCGAGAACTTATCATCGTAGTTGTTGCTGAACTTCGAGCGAGACTGGCTTTTCTTCCGTCCGTCAATCTTTGGCGTTTTTCTAGGCGGAGGACTGGAAAAAAAAAGAATTATGAAAAATTTCATTTATATTGGTTGTATGATTCATGACAGCTTTTCAAAACCAAAGTCAAGGGCTATTCAAGAACTTAGGAAAAAAAACAAAAATTAAGACACTCTACAGAATGTGCTGAAAAGAAAAGTTTCCTCTCCCTATACTTAAGTTGATGAAAGCTATTAAAAACCAAAATCAAGCACTTACAAGGACATATAATTTTTTCAAGAGGCATTTAAGAGTGCCCTAGCAATGGAAATTTCCTTTTTCTCAACCTTCATTCTATGCCACCCACATGAAGAGTGAAATGTATTGTGTGTGCAGACAAGACAACACTATTTGATACTTTAGAAGCTTCATTGAAAAAGAAAAAACACATATCTTCCAGATAGTTGTGAATGAAATCGCCTGATGATTCTTTGATTTAAGCTCCGCAGTTCTGATCACAAGATACCCCTCATGTTGCTAAAGTCAGCCATGGTTTTATCGTAATTTATCTAATGATGAGGTCGCGTAAGACAAGGTTTGACCCCCTTCTCCCTTGTAAGACCTTGTAAAACAAGCTTAAACTCCTTCCCTTTCAGGTAGCTTACGTAATACTTGATCGATGTCTCTGATCAAAAGTGCTAGAGAGACTCGACTAAGATTTCGGACGAAATGCTGGACGAGAGAGTAATGTCTATGACAATTACCTTGTTTGACTGTCATTTGAGGATGACGCAGAACTACTCGGGCTGCTGTCTCTATCCCGACTTGGACTGGCAGGAGGTGAAAAAGCTTGCATTAGTTTTCCTTTGCCTTCACTCCACATGTGAGACTGTAAAAATAAAGGAAAACAATGAAATGGATTTGAATTTTTATTTATTGATACTTGAAATCAAACGAAAGTAACGAGGGCTAACGAACGATACCACCTGACTGACAATTTTGGCAAAAAAGAGTTCACTAACTCTTTAACCTTACCGCATTTTACAGTATAAACTATGCAAGCTGATGATTTTAGTATTTTCCAGTTCTGTGGGGAAGCCCTTCAATGATGTTGTAGTGTATGAAAAAAATGCAAATCTGACCGTAGAATTACGAAAATGACAAAGTTTTCACTTCGTTCTGCAAAATCGTCAGTTTGCAGATTGGCGGTATTGTTTGTTAGCCATTGATAAGTCGTTTAATTAAAAGAATAAATTATTTTCAAGTGAATGATGACAAATATTTTCCAGGAAAACAAAAATTAAACGAAAGCAAGACAATTTTAAGAATTTAAAAATAGTTTTTCTACCTTTGAGCTCTGTGGAGGAAAATATTAAGATGATTTGTTTTGAGGATGCTAGTTCGGAGGCAGAGTCCTACTGAATTCTACGCTTAAGGGCTGTTGAAAATGAGGGGCTAACCATTAAACTGGGGACAAATTCTCATTTTCCTTTATTTCTTCATTTCTCTGTTTTTCCCTGACTTTCTTCCGTTTTTCTCTGACTTCAAAATTTTCGAATTCCTTGACTTTCTTAGCCTTTCAAACAAAACTTCCATTTAGATTTTTCCTTTCAGCTACGCTGACTTCTCCTAGAATATGGAGGGAATTTCCACTTCCGGAGATTACAATTATATAGAGAGACCCACTTAATAATTGTTGGCGCTCCTTAAAATAAAACAGATTGAAGTAGCTGAGCCAACGCACTGGTTGCAAATTTCCCTCTCTTTTTCTAGGAATTCCCCGACTTTTCCAAGTAAAATCCCTGACTTTCCAGGTTTTTCAAAACGCCATAAACCCTAGGCAAGGCGAAGTCTTCTACCAATAGATGGCTTTTTTAACATGTTACACACTCAAAATCTAGAGTATGATAATTCCTGTTCGATTCTCGACACATATAAAATGCTTTTGTTACTGCATGCTTATTTTTAACAATAAATTAAAACTATAGAGGGTTGAATTGCACTTACCAAGCGACCTTCACGGCCAAACAAAAGTAAAAAGGTATCGATGAAATCTCGCGACTTTTCTTCCCACTTCTGGATCATGTCTGAGACTCGCTTCTCGCCAAAATTTTCCATTACTTTCTTGCTTTTATCTTTGAGTTCTTCCATCTTATTCTGAAACCGAAACTTCTTTTCCTACGCAAAAAGAAAAATAATTTCAATTCTGAAGAATCGCTGAATGCATAATTTTGGCCAAAATTTTTGATACGCACATTAGAAACATGCTCACTGCATTGAACACAATAATTTTCAATCATTGGGTGAAGTGCCATTCCATAATCAGGAGATGAAAAAGGAGAAAAATTCACACAGTAATTTCAAAACTTTGCGAACGTACATAGAATACTGAAATGACTCATCACAGCTCTATAAAATTTTAACCTAAGGGAAAAATTAATAACTACCAAACCATTAAAAATCTTAGGCCTTGTCTACAGGGGTGCAGATTGGACGAATTCGTTCCTTGAACTGGGGGTTCCAGGAACAAGTTATAGATAAGTTAAGACAAATTCCTGGATCAAGTTCTCCCCAAGTTTCTGGAAATGTGCTCGAGAGAATGAGGCCTTAGAGACTGCAAGAAGTTTCAGCATGCGTCTCTGAAGTCATTTATTCATTGTTTCCATTCTTCAAAAAATTTAAATTATAATTTTCTCATAATACATTTCCAATTCAACATGAACCCTATCAACGTATATCTTCTTGGTTTATTTTAGGTCACTTTTGAGGAGCTACCAAGTTTTTAAAAGTTGACTCTTGAGAAGCACTAACGATTAAGAACGAAAATTTGGGACTCTAAATACTTACATTTAAGAATGATACATTGAGCTGCTTTGCACTGTAGCCGCGCGCCAGATTCCGCCTGACATAGATGTCATAATCTTTGACAATCCTGGCAACAATATCAGATGTGCTTATTCCTTCCGTCCTCTCTGTTGCTACGAACATTCCTTTCGTTTTTAACCAAGCATAAACGTCTGTCCCTTCGTCGGTTGGGTAAGGAAGCTCATCATGGGCGACAAAGTCAATCTGTGACACAGTGTGTAATTGTTAAAAAAACTTAAAAGAGATCAGAAAATTTTGACAAAAGACCAAAAGTATTGGAAAAACCAGTTTTAAAACAAACATTACAACGGTTTCAAAATCTAACGATTTTATTCGGGAAGTTCTCTTTTGACATTGAATTAACTCCTGACTAATATATAAATAAACTAATACAAAGCACAAATAAACAAAACTGATAAATGCATAAACTAAGGAGGGGCAAAAAAAAGAGAGATCTAAATTCCATACAATAAGAGGGCAGGCTTGCTTAAGTTACAATGATTGCAGCAGAATTAACTATAATTCCTTATGAGACATCCTCAAGTTCTCCCATTTTTTAAGGAATTCTCTCTTCTTTATGTACATTGCCTTATGGATATTTCAAACGCATTTTTGTAAATACCGAAAGTGTTTTGTCCTCAGCATAAAGAGGGAAAAATTACAGAATTAGAAGTTGACATGGAAAAACTGTGCAATAGATTCCGTAAGTAGATAGATTTCTTTTGCTTAAACGCTTCCAAGTGCTCATAATTGAGCCTGCTTAAAAAGACAAAAACACCTATAGTGATAAATTTTTTTAAAAATAGGAACATTCTCCTGGTTGAAAAATGTTCGAGTGAAACTCTCACAAACCTTATGTTTATTCATGAAGTCTTCATCCAGCTGCCATGGGGCACTTCGTACAACCTCATCAACATAGCGACAATGCCTCACGGCCTCGTATCTTTCTGAGTCTTGCATTACTGTTCGCCCTTTTTTACTGTGGGTCAATTCATCACTACATACTGTCAAAAAAAAAAAAAAAATCCACACATTACGATCACAGCTAATTAAAATTTAAACATGATTAAGCAAATGTCAAATTAATTTGAGAATTTGATTCTTGAACTTCTAGAAGGAAAAAGTTCATGTTTATGGACGCAAATTATTTTCTTTAATACTTGAAAACTAAAAAATCATAAATATTTTCCATGAACCAGAATAAATAAGGACCATGATTGGACGCAACTAACTGCGTTTCACGTTGCCTAATCTTCTCTCATATTTTATTTTTTTATTAGAGAACTTAACTATACCTGACACCTCTGCACTTTCTGTAAATTTATTCTTCTGCAGATGAAGAATATATGTCCAAACTTTCGAGTTTCAATATTGCTTAGTCTTCTGCTTAAATAATCAAACATCAGAGAAACTTCGGTAACATATCATACAGTTAGACTGTTTCCAATACATCCGTCTTATTGGACGACTGAGTGTCCATTTGAGATGGGTATTTGACATAGTGCTGCGGCATGGCAGATAGTTCACTTCTTTACAGAGGTATAGAAACCCAACCTGACTAGGAAAAACATGACAAACCTCGAAACATCTGCGACAAAATAAATTGAAACAACATTTGAGAAGTTTTTTCTTTTTCTTTTATTGACATTTGCTTCCATTTGTACGCAAGATAATTTTGATAGGTACCACACGAGAGTGGAGAGACTGAAATCTGATGAGAAAAGTCCCACTGGTTCTGCGTTGAAATTAACCTTCTTACTCTCAAATAGTGTTAATGTATATGAGGAGAAAAAAATTAGAACATTGTGATTATTCCTTACCTCCAACAATTAGGTAAACATTAGGGAACAAATTCTTTGCTTGCATTAACTGTCGGGCATGGCCTTGATGGAACATGTCGTAAATGCCATCAGCATAAACTCGCACTCTTCTAGGAACTGTAAAAATGAGACAAAAAAAGATATTACATTAACGATGAGATACTTAATATGCCAAAGACAAAATAATTGTAATGTTTGTCCTTGAAAAAAAATGAAAAATTAGGTTCCATGGTTCCTAAGTTGCTTTTGAAGCGAATTACCCTTTTAGCTTTTAGCTTCATGACAGTTCTAAAACTTCAAAAAAAATCTATGGAATTTAGATGCTCCAATTTTTGGATTACCCTAGAATGTATTTAAAAAAAATTGATAGCACTTTTTTGAAGGGAATATGATACAGAAAACTCTTTCTCAAATGTCTCTCATGGAGTTACAAAAAAGGACAGAACTTTTCAAAAAAATTAGGATAAATTTTAACACACCAAGCATCTTCATACACACTGAAAAATGATTGAACTTTCTGTAATAACATTTTTTTTAATTCGACCAAGAATTTCATAAATTTCTAAAGAGATGCTATTTAACTTCATTGCAATGAAAAAGAAATATTATCAACTTTCCCATCTCTAAATGCTAATGCAATAGCTGCATTTTGGAGCTGAGTCGCATACTGTTCCCCAAAAAAAGAAAATAACCATGACATCAAAAACAGATCAAAATTTTATTCCAGGCAAAATCATGGCATTGATTTGTTCTAATATAGTTTCTTCATTCTTACAAATATTTTTGGTAAAAAAGCGAATGAGATAGGTAGACGAAGAAAAAAACAAAAATTGACATTTTTAAGCTAAAAGAAATTACCTCTACCACTCTGGGCATCTTTCAGACTGATTCTTATACTATAGTCACAGTTGTCTCTTTCACACTCAGCTTCTGGTTCGTCACTGAACGATGCTGGCTTTGTGATGGACTGAAACAAAAAGCATAATACCAAAAATTAGAAACTGGTCTACACCCATCTAAAAAAACTAAATTGACACTAGCGCTATGAATTATATCAATTGAAACCGACCGCAGAACTTGCGATATTTAGAGACCCTCTTTCAAAGTTCACGGCAGCTTTTCAAAACCAAAATCAAATAATTTCGAAAAGTTATGGGGAGCTTTCAAGGAGGTACAAAATGTCTTAAAAATGTTGGTTTCTTCCACACGCATCTTTGATTGGACCGCGCTTAGCAAAAAGGAACCAAGTCGCATTATCCATTGCCAAAGAATGAGCAATTTAATGCTTAACAAGAGAACTTTGCGCATATTCCTTTGAAAATTTTAAGGAGTTTACTTAGTACTATGTAGAAAATTCACTGAAATTTGCACAAAAATCCGCACGACTGTATTCATGTAAAAAATGAAATTTTCCAATTAAATTCGGCAATAGCTGATGTGGCTAAGTTCCTTCCTGTTTAACGCGGTCCAGTACTAGGCTACTAATACAAAAAATGCAAGTGTATGAGGTAAGGATAACATCGTTTGGCGTTTCGGATATTTGTGCAAGGGAAAAAAACACGCAATTTCCCAAAAGGTAAGAACAAAACCCCGATGATACAGAATTCGAGTTTTTTTCGAGGATAATTCCAAATTTAAAAGATATCTAAGGACTGGAGAATTAGGATATAAAATCTAGTACATTCAGAGACTTTATCCAGGCGTTATCGAACCCTTATTCATGGCATTTTTAGCGTTCTTAAGAATTATTTAATGAAAACATTACGTCTTTAACAAAATGCACTGACATCGATATTGAGGGATGTCGTAAACATAGGAGAAAAACGGGAAACAAGGCTAAAAATTACACGTAACAAACCCGAGACGTTTCGGCCCATAACTGAGCCATTTCCAGTCGGAAGAATAAAAATAAAACATAAAAATTCCAAATTATAAATTTTAACCTATTGAAGGATGAACAGAACACGTGCCTGTTTCGAACCATACCTTCAGGATTGAAAATGCCCCCTTCCTGATTAAACGAACGGAACAATTGCATCATACCGGAATGGCTTCGAGTAGGCACCTGACGATAAGTCGTGCAATATCTAACGACTGCAGAATTTATAATGTTCCCCATGATGAATATTCAGAATGGAAACACCTAGGATTTTCACGTTTTTCAGTTTCTTGATGAAATTGTCCGAGACTTTTACAAAAATCTGAAATGGCTGAAATAAAAAAATGCGCACCTACGCTTGCGACACTGGAAGTCTGCGCATTCTTTCAGAAGAAAACTGTTGTAACTCACAGTTTTTCTTCAAATCGTCTTTACTGATGACGTAACTTGAGTAATTACGGAAAAGTGAAAAACGTGAGTATCTCAGGTCAGCGGGACGCTTTCTTCATCCTAGGTTGAGTCGTAAGGAAATCCGCTTAAATTGAAAGACTTTGCTTTCGATTCGAGCAAAAATCCGATTAAATTTTTCTAGTCAAATTTTTCATGAGTCGGAACCATGCTGCTGTGCTGAGGAAAAATTCCGTATGAACATCTGAATGTTGCCAAATTTCCGTTGATAATACATTCATTTTTTTAGGAGATTAATGAATATTTCACATGGATCGTATTCGATAAATCGAACGGGTGAGATTGTATGGATATCGATTGGTTCACAACATAAACATAGCCCTAAAAGTCAATGGAGTAATCTGGGGTTTTTTGTGATAGATTTTTGATTCGTATGAGTACTAATTGGTCAAGAAGAGTGAAATGGCTACGAAATTTCTCATTTTCAGCTTTTCTGGCCAATATCTTAAAATTTCGGTTTGAGGCCATGTTCTACGGTTTTGAACCAAACGATACATCGAATCACTATCGAATACGATCCATTGAAATTTTCAGATGCTGTAGATTAAATTGCGAGATAAATTCTTCGAAAATTTGGGAGAAAAATGTCCTAAAGTTTCCTTGGAAATTTTTATTTTATCAGAGAAAGTTTGGCAACGTCTGGAGGCTCATACGGCGTTTTTCCTAAGAATGGTAGAATGGATCAAAGAGACTTTTTTTCCAGTGAACGGAAATTTCCCAAGCGTTGATACAGATCCATAGGATGAATCATCAGCGACGGACGTGTCAATAGAATTACGCCGGCTCATAATAAAATCAATAAAAATCAAACTGGTAGGCGCGCGAAACGATTCATAAATCAAACCACCGCCATATAACTTCGCGATCGAAAGAAGAACGAGTAGTAAGCTCCAACTCAAAAGATTTATTACCTCGTGACGCCCATTCATCAAGTCGAGTTTAACACTTGAACTTTCGGCCGTCGAGTTGCGTAATGCACTTGCAAATGAGCACTGCACCGCGAGTCCACAGGTTCCGCGGTTTGAGCTGTCCTGCCATGCTAAGGAAAAACGCCGTATGAGCCTTCACACGTTGCCGAACTTCTTGCGATAAAAAAAAAATTCCCAAGGAAACCGATGGAAATTTTTCTTCCAAATTTTCAGAAAATTTATCTCGCAATTTAATCTACGTAATCTGAAAATTTCAATGAAAAATATTCATAAATCTCTTCAAAAATGAATGGTTAAAAAATGGGAATTTGGCAACATTCGGATGATCATACGGCGTTCTTCCTTAGCACAGCAGTATCCTGAATTCCGAGTAGATGCCACGCAGGATAAAAATCGTGGCGTAATTTGCGATGTATCAATTGATCTGTCATTTGAACCATTGGAAAAGGTTCGATAAACAGGGTTTTCGCAACGAGCACCTTAATAATCGGTTCTTTACCGCAGCTTCAAATGGGGAAATATCGATAATCGATCGTCACTGGCCAAGCAGGATAGAAATCGTGAATTGTGTGATTCTATGCTGCTGTGTTAAGGGAAAACGTCGTATGAGCCTCCAGCCATTGCCAAATTTCTTTCGACAAAATATACATTTTCAAGGAAACTGTTTGGTGTTTTTCCCTCAATTTTCCTGAGGATTTCACTCGCAATTTGATTTAAAGCACACAAAAATTTCAAGGAAATATATTCGTAACTTTTTTTGAAAATTACTGCTTTATTAGGGGAAGTCTGGCAGCTCCTGAAGGCTCATACGGCGTTTTTCTTTACCTTAGCAGAATATGTGAATCAGGCAACCTTCGATCCGGTCTCGCTTCCGGAAGATTAACATTTTTCGGGAGGAATAAAATGAACCAATGAACGGCCATCACCGGACCGGACCGTGCCTCCGGCTTTGACCTTTACGCGAACGCTACTCAAGATGTGAACTTGTTAGACCGGTGCTAGGACTTACGCGGTCCGAACGACATTTCCGAATTGAAACGATTTGGAATAAATCGCAGGCTGGGTGGTCAACTGTGGGATATTATAAAAATGGTCGATTTACGATGATCTTCAAAATTTTGAAAGATTTTGACAAGATCGTCTCAATTTTGCAGTGAAAAATTCATCGTTTCTCCTACGAAAGAGCGTAACTCTGTTTTAGTGTTTCTAAGTTTTTCCGTGCGGATTGCATTTTTACGAGGAGATTTTTGGGGATTTCGATTGAAAATCTCACTGATTTTTTTCTGATCTCATGCAAAAATTGATTCAACGAAAATTATGCAGGTTTACTCTAGTAAATAATTGAATTGTTTGAGTAGATTTCGCAACCTTGGAAGGGAGTTAGGTTCCTTCGTACGAGAAACGACGAATTACTCGAAATGTTTATTTATTCCTGTGTCAACAGCAGGACGTTTTCATGCTGAAAGGAACTAAATTCATAGGATTTGCGAATAGCTTAGTTCCTTCAGCATAAATACGTTCAAGTGTCAATATTTTTAGGGTAAATTTTGCAACTTTGGAATAGAATTACGTTCTTTCGTTCGAGAAACAACGAAAATTTGATCCAGCAATAGTTTCAAATAACCCCGCGGAAACTTAAGCTTTCATGTGAACTGGTGTTTACACAGAATAATAGCATGTTTACTCCCGATGGTGCTGCGGATTTTCTTTTGTATAACTGTGTGTCCTATTAAGTAAACTATTTGAACTCATCTCGTTCAAACGAGAAGGCCCGCACAGTCCTGAAGCTCTTCAACAAAGACACAAGACTCCAATTAGATGGAGGAGGGGAGAGAAAGAAAAGAAAAAAAGAGAGAAAAATTGAGTTCCGCGGATCGAAAATCCGATGGCTGAAGATTAATTACATAACGGCGGCTTCGGGGGGGTGTTAATTAGATTTAGTATCGGTACGAGCTCTTGTTACGATGGTGAAAGTTTAAAAACACGGATCCTCGCTGGTAATGTTGCCACATTTTATTTATTAAAAAAGTATATTGCCAACATTTTCCCGTGAGACTTTCAACGGCTGTTCTCAGTTTCTACGCGAGTATAGAAAAGCGCATAGGAAAATGAGCGTATATAGAAGGTAAAACCTCATGAAAATCATGTTGGGCACAAAAAAAATGCTAAGTGAACTTCAATAAGCACAAATTGCTGAGCTTATACTAAAACGCTCGGTAGGAACAATACTGCACAATCGACTGCAAGTTAGAAATCCCGAAAACGACGAAAATGCGCCGAAACGTACATGTGCATGATTAGATGTATCGCGTAAAATTGAAGGCGTCGTGCATTTTCAAAACCGCGTGTGCGCTGTGCGGGCACTTTTTACTTGGTTTAAGATTGAAGACTTCTTTGGTTATATTTTTAGTATTATTTGGCTCGATGCTTAAGAGAAGAAGGGCAAATCATACGTTTTACAGGAAAATGAATAATTTTGCAGGAAAAAAGGAAATCTACCCATGAGACAAAAATGTCGGATCGAGGGTATAACGGCCGGCGTTTTGGAACTTTCAAGCACACCATGAGAAACCCTAATATAAATAAACAAACTGTCTACGTCAGTCGAATCCCCCTAATTTTCAACCCGTATTAGTCACCTGAAGATGGGAACCCCACCCGAGATGGCAATCGCGTTTTAAAAAAAACTAA